AGACGACTATTCATGAAAGTAAGTATAATCTTCTTATTAATTTTTTTTTTTAATTCGTGATTTGCGAGTAATGGAAAGAATTACTATATATAGAAATAAAAATTTTTATAATAAAATCTATTAATACACATAATCTGAAGCCAGAATGCAAATATCTCGATATCTGCTAAGTAATCGTCCTTTAAGTTTCTATGAAAGTTATAAAGGTCATTCTGGTTCAAATAGTGGTAAGATCATCAATATCGACAGGATAAATCATGGGATATGAGTATTTAAGTCTTTACGATCATATAAACTTTGCAAATTTCATATGATTATATACAATCACGAAGACTTAAATGCTCATATCTCAGGATCTATCTAGTCGATTTTGATGATCTTACTACCATTCAAACCGTAAAGACCCCACAACATTCTTAAAGAAAGTTTACTTTGCAGATATCGAGATATTTGCATTCCGGCTTCATATTATGTACATTAATAGGTTTTTATATATAGTAGTTCTTTCTATTACTTGCAAATTACTAATTAAATAATTTTTGTTTTTTATTAAACCTTTTTTTTTTTTTTTCTCTAATAACACTTTTTTTTTTTTATCTAATAAACAAGTTATAAAAAGGCAGATTTGTCAAAAAAATTCAGCGACACAGTTGGTAGATTTACATATGTCTGTTGCCAGTCAAATGAGGCACAGAGTGAAGAGTATAAGGACTCAAACCATGGGCGGCGTGTACGCTATGATTGTAGAGGTAAGATTATAATAAGGGTTGATATGGCACTTGGTGTTGCAGCTGTGGATATATACTATAGATTCCTTCATCCACATCCAGATTTTGTTGCTGAAATGCCTGATGAACTGAAGGAGGAAATAGGTACACATTCGCATCTTACTACAACTGAATTAGTAAATCATCTACAACGCAAAGAATTCGATATCTCAAAATATTCGCATAAGCGAATATTTTATTGAAAGTCTATTGCAGACCAGAGTAGGTTTCAGCATCACATTGATCCTGTTGAATCAGCACTTAAATTGCTTAATGAACACATTGATCTGGGCTTTCATCGATGTTTGTATGTGCGAAATTCTGAGTCTGTAGCAATTGGTTTCACTACACTGTTATTAAATGATATCAAGGACCAAGGAATTGATGTTACTGAGATATATATGGATGCAACATATAGGACTGCAAGGGGACGCTATGAGCTCTATGGTGTTGTGGTTGATGTTGAGAGTGCTGGGTTTCCAATTGCTTACTTAGTACTTGAAACTAAGGCGAGGAATACATGTACTAGCACAGGAAAGCGTGAATTTCTGAAGAGTTTTCTGACAGTGATAAAAGAGTGTGGTATTGAACCAAATTTTGTGTTCACAGATAAAGATTTTGCAGAAATAAATGCAGTAACCAATGTGTGGAGACTTTCAAAAGTTCAGCTCTGTTTTTGGCACATGGATCGGGTTCTTAAACGAAAGCTAGTAGAGAAGGCCCAATGATCAAAAAAAGAGAACCTAATATCAGTAAATTACAATATCGACCAGGTAATAAGTGAGTTTGATTTTATTGACCCTTCCTTCTATTCGACAGAAATTGACCGAAATCCACAAGCATATGTTGTGTGCCCGAAACCTATTATGAGCAAATTTTAGAGTTAATAAAAAAACATTATGACATGTACCCATTGATACCAGTTGACGTTCATGGAGGCATTATGTCACCAGAAGACATCAGGATAAGTGCTGTAAATGAAATATATCAGTTTTGTGCCATAAATAATCTACGGCTTTTATGGTCATATCTCTGAACAAACTGGTATTCTCTTAGTCGATGGCAACTCTGGGCCCGGTCAGTTAAACCTACAATAGCTCTAAGTAAAACAACTATGAAAATTAAGGCCCATTGGAGTGTTCTCAAACGGCAGTACTTACAACGATTCAATAGTCCTAGGTTGGATCTTCTGTTTTGGACATTATTTAGCGAAGTAATACCAATACAAAAGGACCGTCTTTCACAAACTTTAAATGGTACAATAAATCCATATTGGTGGGTGGATTTCAAACGAGAATGGAATTATTTGGGTAAAAGTAATGACCATCAAGTAAAGATGCATGTAAATAAATATAATAAAGGCAAAAGAAAGCGTACCAAGATAAGGACAATTGAATCATCTGGTACATATTTTACTGACATTTCTCGTTGGATATATAGTTGTCCTTCCTTTGCCAGAAGCCATTTTCTAATATGTAAACACCTAGTTCGACGGGTTGTAAATATGCCTGATGGAACAAGACGACGACTAATTAGGGAAAATTTTAAATGCCAGACTATGTCGCCTTTTCTTATTATAAAAAATCTAAATAGTAATGAGGTTATGGAAAGCTTATTGTCTGTGACCGATACCACATCTGCAGAAGTTTTTGAAAATATTGTTAATGTTGATGAGAACCCTGAAGAGAATGCTTGTTCTTATGTAAAAGCGACTTGGTCCTTAGTTGAGCAAGCAATGAAGCGGATGCATGCTGAACGATCAGCTAATAACTGGCGCCATCTCTGTGCTATGATAGAATGGAGCAGATTAGTATTGATGGAAGAAGAAATACAATCAGTAGAGCGAAAAAGGCATAGACAGGCAACTTGGACCTTGGCTACCACAAAGCCATACTTGATGTACTTGCCATGTTCGAATGCATCAGAGGTTTTAGAGAGTACAATGATTAATGATACAATAGATTTAATGGTTATTGAAGATGAGTAATTGGGTAAAAGAATTGTGAATAATTTTTAAGAGATTAGTAAATTGTATATTTTAACTAGTAAATACAATAATAAATGTAATTTAGGTTACCTGATAAAGAGACTGTGTTTTGCTTGTAACAGACAACATTCATTAGTAAAAACAATGGCACTTGTTCATTTAATTTGAACCATTTTAAATTAAATTGAGATCTAACTTTTGAGTAGACGTTAACAAAAGTAGATCCGTGAGAATACCAAGATATATAAGCATCCAGTTAATATTACAAATAATTGTACTGATCTATTTATTCTTTTATAAATATGAATAGCGTTTAAAGAAGTGCTTAAAAACTCTTTTTCGAACTAGAAAATAACGAACGTAACGATAATTGGAATTTGAACTGCGGCTTAGGGACGATCTATCGATCGTGATTCACGTGAGATCATCAAGATCCAATCACGTGAATGAATCACGGCGGCGCAGGATCACCTGACCCGGACTTTTGGGGGTCGCCCTGGCTAATTCCTAGTGTCGTGCTCAGAAAACTGCGATTCGGTTGCTCCAAAATCTGAAATCTTGTGTAACCGATGATACAAAAGAGGGTGGTTACTTGGGGTCAACGAAGGTCAGTAGGGTAAGTCATGTGATCAAGAACTTAAATGAACAATGGTGTTTATAGCGATTTTGAGGGTTTATACTAGGTAGAATGTTAATGTGATATTATTAAGAACGATGTATTGTATTGGGACTTATTATTAATAAAGCAAACGAAGCATTACGCCTTTTAGGGTCATTTCGGTCTTTATTTATATTATTCACTTTCGTCGCTTACAAATGCAACTTTACATTTATTATTCATTAAAACTGTTTATTTAATATTGTTAAGGATGTGTAATTTGTCTTTACATCTTCTCCTTATTCTATATATACCTCTATGCATCCGAAATACCGTTTCTGATCACAAATGTAATTTATTGCATTTCGTGCCTTTTTCCCGTGATCAGTCACGATATTTCGATCTCGCACTAGTTAAGTCGAAGTCGATCATTCTAATTGGTTAATATTAAACATGTGATTTTAATAGATATGATTGGTTGATTATTAGGCAGACAATAGCGATAGGTGATAATGAATTAAATTTTGTAGTCGACCTATTGTTAGCAAAGTCGATCTCCTTTAGTATGCGACAAAAAATACCCGAATTTTCGTCAGACAACTATTATAAAGTTTAGTATTCTTAAATTTTCCAGCACTACCTATACACTCGATTAAGAATCGACTAAATGACATAGTCGGCTAAGTCGATCTTATCTATCTACTTCAGTGAGTATACCTAACTTCTCTCTATAAATAAGTCGTTTGTTAAATTTAAGTCTTTTCCTTACCTGGAGAGCTGATGTATTATTTTTACATTATTATTTTTTATTTTATAGTAAAGACACGAAAATTTAAGTTATGATATCTTTTGAACCAGTAAACGTACATAAATAAAATTGCATTTTTTAAACTTCTTTTTTAATTTAACAATGTTTTATTTAATTTTAATAATCTATATTTATAGTTACTCAATTTCACCAAATCTACATGATACATTATTGTTTCCACTTAAGAAAAACGAATATGAGATTAAAAGAAAGGTTACTGCATATGAGAATGTTACATCTAAAAAGTATTTTAATAATCTAAAACTTCATAACTAAAAATGATAGATACTTATTGACAAATTTATATGGATATCATTATCTGAACTTTTCATAATCATTAATGGTTATTTTACTGTCAACAATCAAACTTTTAAGTTGTATTAAAATACTGTAGTACTGTAAAAATATATTTTGCTAAACGATAAATGCAAACGTAAATTGGAATTTGTTTTGGCATGATTACAGGATTAAATTGCTAATCGTTTCAGTAAAAACAAAACTGATAAATAAACAATAAAAACAGTTTACAAAGATATAACTTCAAGTTCGATTTTTATTATTATTAAAACTGTATTTTAAATCTACATTTCGTTTATTTCCGAAAATTTGTCATACAAAATTTTAAATAACACAAATTACTACATAATAGAAGAAAAAAAAAACAGAGATCCAAATGATAATGCACACAAGCCAGCTTTTCCGAATTTTTCAACTTAGTAGCAGTACGAATCCCAATAATTTGATATGATAGACACATCTTGAAATGCAATTTCAGTAGAGAAATTCATTAGAGACGATTGAAATGACATCTTTCATCAGAAATATATGACATAGTCAAATCTAGTGAATCCACAAAAGCCACAGGAATCGTTTCAGCGTAGTCAACATGTTGTATGGTTGCATGTTGACATGACGATTAATTAAGGACGTTTGAGCTAGCATGTTGTCATTAACATTCGATTCATGTCCTTGTTCGGCAAAGTCTGCCATAGAATCAAATAATATCATTTCCTTATTCCTTTCATGGATACCTTCTGCATTAATAGTACTACTAGAAAAAAACCGAATAATCTCAGCATATTTTTCATAGGCCAATCTGACATGCTTAGGTTCTTCATCATATGCCTTTTTAGCAGCAGAGGGATGAAGCTTATGTTTAGTTTTATAAATTAAAAAGCTGCTTGGGGTTCTTTTGACATTATATTTCTGAATCAGTTGTTGAATCTCGTAATGAGTCATAAGTTGTGACATTTTGAAAAGGTTTTTAGTTGTTTTAAGAAACTAAAATTTCAAGAAAGATGAAATAAGAAGGCATTAAATATGTTTTTCAAAAAGTATATGTGGCATGATATCTTTTATGATTTATTATAGTATTGAGAGCTCCTAACCACATGTCATAATATCTGACTGTCCAACACAATAGTGATTTAGCGAGGCCATTGTTGTTAAAGGAATTACCTTTTAAAGTGTGTTGACCGGTGCATGTTCGACTTGCAAAAATTCGATGAGGTTATTTAGAGAAGTTACTCCAAAATTTATCATCCAAATAACGTCATACTAAGCTTAGAAACACCAATTCACTTTACAATAACAAACCAACTATAAATTAAACAGATTTATATTTTCTAGCAATTATGTCAGGCTCAATGTTTTTCCTACGTAAATGATTAAACTTTAATACTAGACAGATCATAGCTACCGTAAAAATGTTTATAACCTATTCAAAAGCAAAAAAAGAATTATTAAAAACTTTATTAATGGTCTAAAATGTGTTAATATGTTGTATCTGAAGTTGCCACTTTAAATAATATCCAAAGTAGCAGCTGACAGTATTACATGCACGAAGATCTTATTTCAGGAGCTAATCCTGCGTATAGTTTGGAGTTACTTTAGATTTCTAAAATGGAACTCCAGGTAAATCGCAACTTCATATGCAACAAAAAATATATAATTTTATCAATTTATAATGCTCTATAGGAAAGTTTCACAATTATGCATGTTGATATTTACTACGCTTACTACCTGGTTTAATAAGCATATTAATGTATGCATATATCAATTTTACATTTTCTACTAAAAAGAATTCGCCCTGTTTTAGTTTATTGAAGCTAAGGTTATGAGTATTAATAAAGGTTTAACTTTTTATACAGTATATCGACGTGCAAGTATATATAATGAACACAATAACGCTTATATAATATCAAATTATACAATAACACATACAGACAGTCTATATAAGTAAATTAATTATGGAGAATTTAGTGATCGGAATATTTTTATCACTTTTTATATATATTTTAATAGTAAAGAAACAACTTGTATGTTTTTAGATGAGTAAAGCGTATCTTTTTACTTTTTTCAATCATTTTAGCATAATTATATTCTTAACATGTTTATAACAATATTACTTAAAATTTTCATGCTTTAGTACTAAATTCGGAAATTTTTATCTGCAAAAAAAAGTCTTCTTTGAACAGTACACAATATGAACCGTACAGGGTCAACTTGATATTTAAATATTAGTGTTAAAAATTTTTCAACGTAACTTTTTTATAACAGCGTTTAAAAATAAATTTATACTAAAATAATTGATTTTATCTAGTCATCTAAAAACATGCAAGTCATTCTTTACACTGTAAAATATACATATAAAGTGATAAAGAATCTGTTACTGCCTTAATCAATATCTGTGGTACTACATAGTCTTAGTTGACTGAATATCATAATATTCGTCGTCTGTCTTTTTTTGTCGGTGGGCGAAGTTGCATATCAACCTGAGTTCAAAATAGGCCATTCATTTTTTCGATTGATTGTATTGGCTAAACACTCGTGTAGTACTAAATAGGGATTTACCAAGTTTGGAATTGTAGGTCGCGTCCCCTTTTTTGGTAAAAGATCTGCAATTGGAAATTCTTTTTACCAATCATTAGCCGTGTTTTTATTTGGTTCACAACCCGGTGGATCCCTAGACTACATGCTTAGAGTAACTTTTGCTAAAAAACTGGTTTTTTTTTAGATATCAAAACAGATCAATTTCTATATCGTGTAAAATCTCTGACTGATATTGATCTTGATAAAATTAATGATTGATCGTTGTAACGTAAAAACAAATTGACATATGAAAAATTCTTTAAGCATTTAATTTCCAAGAATAATGAGCCCCTTAAAAACCTTATCCAATTTCCAAGAATAATGAACTCCTTGAAAATCCTTACCCAAAAACATGGATGTTCGTTTGTTTGTTTATTTCAATACATAATTGGACATTAATCACAACTAAACATTGGATCCTAATATCCGCCAATGTTTGTTGTTCTAATTTATAATAAAACTATTAATTATAAACAAATAAAATCGATTTTTTGAATATCATTGAATTGAAATAATGCGATCCCATCTCCATTCACAAAATAATTCCAATTAATCGACATGCATGCATGTAACTAACTTAATTTCCAGAGCAGAGTAATTCAATTCACACAATAGGTTCCATGATGATTTAGAAATGTAAATTAAATAATTCATCTTAATTATAAATGTTTATATTCATATTACTAATTGAAAAATATTAACATCGTAAACAATAAAATGCACCGAAACCTAACGGCCCGTTTTCCTAGTAAATAATATATCATCTATTGTTGTTCGGTAAATCGGCGAGTCTGTCGCTAATTCTTTTCAATCCTCGTGTAACCTACGGCGGCTAAGTTTATCCGTAGGTAAGTACTATTCTTCGCTTCTTTCTAAGTCTTTCCTTCAACCTATTCTTTTATTAACCCTTTGCATTCTCTCGTCCTCTCTTTACTTCCTTAACCTGGGGTTACGATACGTCAAATCGGGTTCGAGTCCTTCTCTTCGTTTAACGGCTTGGTCACGTGACTTGCTGCGAGCAAACAAAATGCGGTTTTAATGGATTACAAATGGGCGAACGATAGTTGATTACGATAGTTTTAGTTTGGGTTGGGTTATTATTTACTTTTAATATGGGTCCGATACTTTAAGTTTATTTAAGCAAATGTATTCACTTGGGGGTATCGCAGTTACTTTCCCCCTGGGCGGGAAGCCCTTTATTTATAATAAAACTTTTATTTACATTCGAGGATAATTTCCTCTACATTATCTATTTACAATCTAACATTCTTAAAACCCCTTTCCCCACCATAATAACTAAAAATCGAATGCCGTCGTTCTACCCGAAGTAACCAAAGTAATAAATGTAAGAAAAGTAAGATTTCTCTTACTTTTCATGTGGTCACGTGAGACCGTGACAACGTATGACCGATTTCGGGGCTCACACTATCTATTTCAATAGTAAAAAATAATAAAGTTTGAACTATCTAAACAATCCCTATAAAAAAAAAAAAAAATGTTGAATTTAATGGAATTTACGAGAATATTTTATTTATATTACATTTGGAGTTCGCTGAAAATCTCATATTCGGTAAAGTGATATGGAATTGATCAGGAGCTACTATTTGGCGTTGCCAAAAGAATATATACAAATTTAAATATAGCCTATATTTAATATGCATGTTCTCTTTTGCCAACACATACTTCTTTATATTATTTTGCGGCGAATTTCTTATATAATACGGAATTATACTAAATCCATATAATTCATTTAATTTTTGCATTTCAGAAAAATCTGTGATTACAGGATTATGTTAATGAACTATTGACTCAAAATCAATCAATATATTAGAAGTGTTATCGCATGATCAATCACAAAAGCTTCCTAAACACTTTGTAGTTATTTTTAAACTTTTATATGAATTACTATTTTGGTAAATGATGAAAGCCAATCACCTAAAATGTTTTAAATGTCGTCACACTACATTAAAACAATGAGTTAATTGCAGTACCCGAAAAAAATCCAGACTTATATTTTCACAAAATTCACTTTATCATCTTAAAAGAACTGCGCTTTCATAAAATTTTTTATAAGATAACCCCATAAAAAAGCCACAAAAGGAAGCACCAAAAAAGAAGTATTAAGAGATATTAGAACTAAAATTGTTATAATTAAGAGAAGATTGTCAATTAAATCTTCGCTTAATTATACTACCTTAAATAAATTCGGTTTTATTTTTATCGATAAAGAAGCCAATGAACTACTACTACCTGAATCTGTACAGCAGTAAACATATTGGCAACGACGTTGATTGGATTGATAACTATGCAGGATTCTACTCATCAAAGCATAAATTATTATTCGAAATTTACTCTAGAGATACAAAATATGTATTTTCGTGAACACTCTCCATCCAAAGAATTTACTGATGACTAATAAAACCTGGTACAAAATCTCTAAACAAAATGATGTTAGAGCAGAATAGGTAATTGTTCAATTTGGCTAGGTTCATGCGCTATTTCACTCAATTCGGTTGGGGCCGAAGTTTGTAAATATAGATTTGATTAAGAAAGTTATTGAGATGGGAAGGATCTTATCACAATATTTTATCTAAATGTTCTTGCTATCTTTTGGTTCTCATGACCTTAAATTAAGTGAATATAATGTCGGGAATATAGATAGAGAGCAGATTCGTAGGGTTCAACAAAAAAAATGCTGTCCCTTGGGAAAGCGATACACCACTTGATGTATTTACATATCTTTTACTTGAAGCATCCATAAGATTAACCCCATCAGATAAATCCATTCCTTATACAGATTTGGTTTCAAAGGAAATGACATGGAATTGTTTTATTTTCAAAGTGGCGGGCCATATGCAATTAATCAAAGGAAACGACATGGAATTGTTTCATTTTCTCAAAGTGGAGGGACATATGCAATTAACCAAGCAAATAAAAAACTTAAAGAGAATTTGTACTCGACTAAACATTTGATTACAGTTTGGAAATTCATTTCTTTTCTACCTAGGCCTAAGAATAGGTATTACGAACGCAAAAACTTAGAGGAATATCCGGAAAAGGATGGATATAAAAACTACAGACAATTAAATATTAGCACGAAGTAATTCTAATTCATGAGGACTTGGTTAAACTTGGAAAGAAATTGGTTATCATAACATTGTGGACGATGTAAACGATCTAGTTATTCAAAGGAAATCTCATAGACAGAAGTTCGTCTGATTAGCTAATAAATTCAATTTAATTTTACATTATTTATACAGTTTAGAGTAATAAAGTAAAAAAAAAACTATATAGAAGGTTAAATTAGAGCTGTAGATCCAATTCTCGTCCTTTTAAAAAATTAGCTTAGTAATAAGTTGATGCTGAGAAGTTATTATTATACTAACTTTTTTAAACGAACAAGAATAAGATCTTATTTTTGCTATAGAGTTCTACAGTTCTGATGAAACCTTTTATACAGCCTTTTTTATTTCATTATGATATGATTAGTTTTCGTTTTTTAAAAAGTACTCTAAACTGTATAAATAATGCAAAATTAAATTGAATTTTATCAGCCAATCAGTCAAACTTATGCCTATGAAGGAATATATTATTAGTATTTCCTCCGACTCCAACGAAATGCCTGATATAAAAAAAATATCTACAAAGTTTATTGTATATAACAATATAGAGTTGCATAAAATCAAACAATACCTTTCTGCATTAAGTGCCATCCATAATTTCAAGATATCCGCTCGGTTTAAAACTCGATAAAATTATTTGATTTTCAGTAAATACAACTAGGCGCTTGAGTTGCTTAAAAGGTGTTAGAAATGATTGCAGTGTATCGATTGCACTAATGCATTAAGTATCAAATTTAATTTAGTTTGACGCAGTTTTTCTTGCATATTTCCGAATAAACATTTATGCATTTATATTTATATTAACAAATCTTGAAAAGTACAATTGTGTACTAAATTAAAGCCCATTGATTATTATCATTGTAACTATAATATACAAATTAGTAGAATATTGTTAAGTATGATCAACATTGTTTTAACATAGTTGTTATAAACGTTCATAATTTATTGATTAAAGTATGTACATTCACTTCAGTAATTTGTAATTTACTATAGTTTTTGATCGCATTTCTTACGCAAGGGATTTAGTCAGTGAGTTTAAGATTGTCTATTACATTACAGAAAATTTATTGGTTCAAATTTAGTCATTTAGAAAATTGATTTGGGTTTATTTTTTTGTTGAAAATGGTTTTTGGGTAGGATGTAATATTTTAAAATTATATATAAACTTGATGGTATAATTTTTTTATAATTTCAATTACAAAATTTTTACTAATTATATATTTTTTGAGTTTTTAATAAAGTTGTAAAGTAAGTTTATGTAATTCTAACAGTAATAAAATCATTAAAATTGGATTAAAACTCATTGATATTGTGATTCGGTAATCGGCAAGTATGTCGCTAAACTAATCCAACTCTCGCGTAACCTACGGCGGCTAAGTCGAAATAGGCGTGTTAGATTTGGCTGGTGGT